CTAAAAAGTAGCAAAAACGTAATATTTTTGAATTTTATTCATTCATTAATTTTTCGCAGTAATAATTTAGACAAAAAAAAAACTTTTTTAATTAATTAAAAATTTAATTAATTTTAATGATAATAATTATCACTCAACAATAAGATTATTTTTGAAGAAATGGGAAAAAAAAAAAACGAAGTTTCCTTTCCCAATCATTTTAACTGTAAAATATAAAAATAATTTATAAAGTACTCTTGCTTGACAAGTAAGTTGATAAAGTAAGTATTATTTTGTTTTCCTCTTTTTCTTTTACGTTCCTTTTTTTATTTATTTATTTATTTATTTATTTTTTTTGTCAACTCATTAATCATCTCTTTGCTTCTTTTCTTAATTTTCTTTTTCTTTTTTTTCTATAATTAATATATAATTTACAATATTTAAGAAAGTAAAAGAAAAAGACAGAGAGGGCAAAAGAGAGAGAGAGAGAGAAAGAAGAAAAAAAAGGTAGTTAATTTTAGTAATAAAAGTAATTTAGGTTAAATTGTTGCTATTATTATTATTATTTCTATTCAAGCTACAATTAAATGGCGCTTACATTACCGCTTCATGTAGTAGCAAGTGTACAACGTTGTTGTTCAAATCGTGCTGGTACATCCGGTTTTCCGGATCAAATTATTGAACATCTCATTAATCGAGTAAATTATTCATTTTTTAATTATTGCACTTATTAATATTAAGCATAAAATATAAAATGAAAATTGATTACAAATAAATTAATTATGAAATATGAAAATCAATTTTAGATAAATCAAATTATAAAATGAAAATTAATTTCGGATACGGATAAATTAATTATAAAATAAAATGGAAAATAATTTCGGATAAATCAATTGCAAAATGCAAATGAATTTTATAGAAATTATTTATAAAATGAAAATTAATTTCAAATAAAAAATTATAAAATGGGAATTAATTTCAAATAAGCCAAATATAGAGTGGAAATTGATTTCAAATAAATTAATTATAATATAGAAATTAATTTTGGATAAATTAATTATAAAATAGCAAAATAATTTTGGGTGAATTAATTATAAAATGGTAAATAATTTCGGTTCATACAATTTCTATTCAATCAATTATTTATTTTTATTATACAATTTCTATTCAATCAATTATTTATTTTTATTATACAATTCCTATTCAATCAATTATTTATTTTTATTATACAATTCCTATTCCATTAACGATTTATCATTATTCAATTTGTTTATTAATAAACTTTTTTTTTGTTTTAAAATATTTTTAAATGTAAATTTATGCTTATTATTAGTAAAAATGCAAAAAAGAAAATAAAAATTTTTTTTTTCTTTTCCAAAGTATTATTTCAGTCTTCCATATTTGATATCATCAAATGGCAACAAATATCAAAAAGTTTTCAAAGAGCAGCACAAAAACGACTTGATATGTATACAATGATTGATATTAAAGTATACAATGGTTTACGAAAATTGCGAAATAAAGCTGAAGCTGAATGTAGACTTTTTTTATTTTGTAATTTTATTAAAAATAAAAATTAAATTCGTTTGAAAAGTTTTCAACTTTTTCATTTTAACACTGTTTTATTTTAAGTAAATTATACTATTGTTTTGCCAAAAAGTTTTGTTATTATTATTATTATTATTATTATTATTATTATTATTATTGTTATTAATATTACTGTTATTATTATTATCAATTTCAAATAGGAAAATGATAAATAGTAATATATGTGTATATTGAGGATATATTTTAGCTGAATACGATTGGCATCCATCATTAGCATTAATGATTATGGAATTAGAGCCAAATCATCTTGGTATAGCAATTGATTCAGAGATGAAGGCA